TTTAGAAGTAATTGACAGAAATTGCTGAAATTCAATAGGCTTCTTCTTTCACTATTTAAATAATGCATATACATTTCATACAGATTGAATAATAACTTTCATCATTCGAGCGTTCACAAGGTTCAACAAGGGCCATAACTCTACAAGTAATTATTTAAAATTGCTGAAATTCAATAGGATTCTTCATTTCACTAATTTAAATGATTAAATTTCGTACTGATTGGATGATAACTTCTGTTGTTAGAGCGTTCAACAAAGTTTAACAAGGATCATAACTCCAGAAGAAATTATTGAAATTAAATAGCTTTCTTCATCTAACTAATGTAAACAACATATATCAATTTTTTTAAAAAATCAGATGATAATTGTAGTCTGTAGAGTGTTCACAAGAAATTGTGGACGGTGTACAGACAGGAGCGACGGCAATATACGACCACATTTCCACGTGGGCGTATAAAAACATTTGGTTGCCAGGCAAGATACGTCCACATTTTGCAAGAGATAGATAGAGAACAAGCTTTAAAAAAATATTGATTTTTCGTACAATCAGGGCCATAATCCAGGAAGCTATGGTCCGAAATGCGCAAATATTGTGATATTTGGGATATAAAGACGCATTTTAAGTTTCATCAAAATCGGATAAAAATTATGATTTCTTGAGTGTCCACAACCTTGGTATTACATACTTTTACACCATTTGCGTACAAGGAGAGAGAGAGAGAGAAATGGGGTTTAACGTCCACTCGACACAAACTAGGTCATTTCGGGACTAACATATAGTTCAATTTTATTTCCATAATTCGCTTGCGCGTAGGGGTCTTTAGCAGTGGGAGGAAACCGGAGGACCCAGAGAAAACCCACGAGGTTGGACAGGCGACCCTACTCCTTGTCAAGTACAACCGGGGATTCGAAACCACGCCAGTTGACTCAATGACAGACTTAATGATACAGCGCGCATGTGCTAACCACTAAGCCATCCAACCCCCCTTGCGTACAAGGAGTTTAGGTTGATGGGTAACAGTGATATTTTTAAACGTTTTTTTAAAATTGAATACAAATTGTGACTTCTAGCGGGTTCACAAGCAAAAATTGCGATTTTTAGTACAAGCAAGGGCAATAATTCAGCAAGGTACGATCCAATATGCGCGATTATCGAAAGGAACCAAGGTCTTTGTGATATAAACATAAATTTAAACACAAATTATGCAAGAGGTAAATCTAACTATTGCCGGTCTTTCTTTGGGCTTGAAATGTGATTTAAACTATTAATTAGACATTTATTAACATGAAAAGACCACAATCAACTGTCGATACCAATTATATGTTCAATTTTCATTGGATTTGAATCCGATCTGCTGTTCAACGTTTGTTGATGATTAAACGCAAAAATGGATAATCAAGACTTTGTATTTTTCGTGACAGCGCTAACAATGACAATCAAGGCTACAGTGATTTTAAAATAAGGTTTTCTCGGCTTTGTGTGAAGCAATTTGACTGAAATTTTCAGCATATTCCCTATACATCATCTAGTTGTTAATTATTACACTGAGAACTGCCAGGTCCTTATATAATCTTCTGCACCATTTTGTCCGTTAGTTTTGGTTCGATTTTCATGAAATTCGAACTGAACCATCTTTTGGGTGTAACGGTGACATATTCAAACGGTTTTTTTTTAAATCGGATAAAAATTGTGACCACAACTAGCTAAAAAAGTGATTTTTCGTACAATCAAGGACCATAATTCAGGAAGTTACAATCGAATATGCCTGAATAATAAAAGGAACCAAGATCTTTGGGTAATAAACATACATTTCAAGTTTCACCAAAATCAGACGAATATTGTGACCCCTAGAGTGATTTTTTCGAACTATAGGGGCCATAATCCATGTAGTTATAGTCCGAAACATTCAAATATAGAAAGGATCCGGATCGTTGGGATATAAACCTATATTTCAAGTTTCGTCAAAAACGGATAAAAATTGTGACCTGTATAGTGTCCACAAACAAATTGTGGACTGACAGATGTCCAGGCGGACAGGGCCAACGACAATATACGTCCACATGTATGCGTATACAAATCAAATGGAGTTTAACTGTTCAGTATCAACCGGGATAATGAAGATGTACATACTTAAGGGGAATTTGGCCCAACCAGCGACGTTTCAGTCTACTCTTTATTTTGAATTCGAGCTGTCAAAGAGTTCTTTTACGTGCACGCCAACGTATGCACGGGACCTCAGATTTATATCCCATCCAAATAACTAGATGCTGCCCATCACAGCCCCCCCCCCCACTTCCGGCACCGCTGACAAGGGGAAACAACGCTGGAAAGATTGCGGAACTTTCTAGGTCAACACAGGGACAAAACCCCGAACCTCCTGATTAGTGAGCCACGGACAAGGGGAAACCACGCCGGACCAGGATGTCAAAGAGTTCTTTTACGTGTACGCCAACGTATGCACGGGACCTCAGATTTATATCCCATCCAATTAACTAGATGCTGCCCATCACAGCCCCCCCCCCTTCCGGCATCGCTGACAAGGGGAAACAACGCTGGAAAGACTGCAGAACTTTCTAGGTCAACACAGGGACAAAACCCCGAACCTCCTGATTACTGAGCCACGGACAAGGTGAAACCACGCCGGACCAGGATCAAACCCTTGACCCCCGTTAACTGAGCCAACCCCTTACTGAGTCACCGCCCCCCCCCCCCCTGCACTGATGACACTTACAAGTTACATGGAAAGCAGGAATAGTAATTATAGCATTTACTTGACAATTATCACAATTTTCATCTGTTTGATAGGGAGGACTTCACGCTAGAAATTTTGGCGGCAGACCTGCCTCTTTGTATTAGATTCGTTATATAATTAGAATTTTACCGATATTGGTAGAAATTCACCGATCGACCTAGAAATATATGCGGCAAACATACAAAACTCACCTTTCTACTTCTCAGTGTATGCGCATTCAGATTGATTGAAGAGAAGAGACACGTGTGTCACTCACTCTCTTTTCATTGTTGACTGATGTCGATATTAAAAGTCATTTATAGCACGCTTCACTCGTAAACAGAAATAAAAACACTATAACATGCTAAAGAATAAATGCCGCTGGAAAAGCCGATGAAATGCTCGTGAATTCCTACCTTGAACCAGCGGCTGCCAGGCAGGATACGCCCACATTTTGCAAGAGATGGATAAAGAAAAACCAGCTAAAAACAAAAACGATTTTTTGTACAATCAAGGGCAATAATCCAGAAAGTTATGGTCTGAAATGCCCAAATATCAAAAGGGACTGAGATCTTTGGGATATAAAGATATGTTTTAAGTTTCATCAAAATTGGATAAAAATTGTGACCTCTAGAGCGTCTGCAACCTTCGTAGCATACTTTTACATAATTTGCGTACAAAGTGCGGCCATTTTGCCGAAATTCGAATTCAACCTTCATTATGGTGGAATGGTGATACAGTAGAACTTGTATTAAGCAAGCACCCAAGGGAAATTTTAAAATGCTTGCTTAATGGAGGTGCTCTTTGACTAGAGGTATCCAATGTTGCACCAACCCCTACCAAAATGCCGTGAATTTGAGTATTTCCCACCCCCACTATTTTAGTGATTACGCAACCACTTTTACTTTCATTTGATAACTGTATCACTTTGACACGTTCTTAAGTGTCAAAACTTTTCGAGTAGGTGTAAGAACTTTACGAGGGGTAGTAATATTAGACATATTGATAAACAATGTCTTATCAATTCAGACTCTTTCTAATATATCATCATTGGCTTGGATATGAATTGAATATTGATTAATGGTTAAAATTATCAGCTTGGGGTGTGAGTAAACTTGTTAATTAGTGATAGTTAGTTCAAGCCAAGCGAGTAAATCGTGTCAAGATTAGTGACAGTTCAGTCTCGTTCGCTCAAGCGAGAACGTGATTCTCCGAGATTCACTATGATGTGCTCACTTAATGGATGAAATAGCATGATCTGGGGCTAATACAGATGCCCGTTGCACGCGTTGAACATGTGCGTGTTTAGTAGGGGTTAAATTACTTAAAAATCGCTCGGGGGGATTCTTTGGTGCTCGTTGAAGCAAGTGTTAGCTGACAAGGAGTGCACGCCAGAGCAAATTCTACTGTATATTTAAACGTTTTTTAAAATTGGAAAAAAAAGTGTGACCTCCAGAGGGTCCATAACGCTAAAAATGCGATTTTTCAAACAATCAGGAGCCATAATCCAGGAAGTTACGGTGTAACGGAGATATATTCAAACGTTTTTTTAAATCGAATAATAATTGTGACCTCTAGAGGGACCACACGCTAAAAACGCGATTTTTCGTACAATCAGGGGCCATAATTCAGGAAGTTACGATTCGATATGCATGAAAATAAAAAGGAACCAAGATATTTCTATTATAAACATTCTTTTCAAATTTCATCAAAATCAGATGAAAATTGTAACCTCCAGAGGATCCACAACCCTGATACACAATATTTTGACACTATTTGCGAACCATTTTGTCCGTCAGTTTCGGTACGATTTTTACGAAATTCGAACCCAACCACCCTTAGGGTGTAACAGTGATATATTCAAACAGGTTTGTAAAACGGATAAAAATTGTGACCTCTATGAGGTCCACAAGCTAAAAACGCGATTTTTCGTACAATCAGGGGCCATAATTCAGGAAGTTATGGTCCGATATGCACAAATAAAAATTGTGACCTCTACAGTGTTCACAAGCTAAAAACGTGATTTTTCGTGCAATCAGGGGCCATAATCCATGAAGTTACAGTCCGATACATGCCAATATCGAATGAAACCGAGATCTTAGGGTGATAAACCTATATTTCAAGTTTCATTGAAATCGGATAAGAATTGTGACCTGTAGAGTGTTCACAAACAATTGCTTAACTAAAATCACGGCGAAACACAGTGAATCCTAATGAGAAATTTGAAACAAACTGTATAGGGGTAATACAATTTGCATTGTTTCTTACCTCTAATCCATTCGCTGATATTTTAAGATATTCACTCACATCATTACTATTTAACATAACATTGATGGTCCGTAAATCTAACTGTTGGTAAGTAAATGAACGGCCCTATAAAATAATTAAAAACATTTAGTTACTTTTAATCAGCAGGTTTATAATCCCAAATCCATATATGTTTCACGTTATATTTGAAAATCGATAGGGTTCATCCTCTCATAGTATTACTGCTTCACACCAAATTTGAATAAGATACTATTGCCACGCAAAGAGTGGAGATATGCCCAAACAGCTACAACAGCATATGCATGAAAATTGGATGCTTAATAAATTTGATGTGGGATGCCTTCAAGAAATCTGATTTTTGAAATCTGGAAATATAGCCACGCACAAGCTTTGTCTCAACTGCAGTTTATCTGAAAAGAAAACTTGGATGTGGCGCAAATTTGATAAGGATCTAGGATCATTGAAGAAATTTAATCCATAGGGTTCATCCTCTTATAAATTTGAAAAAATCTGTCAAAATCTATAAACTATCGCTTTCACAGGATTCTCAGAAAAGGGAGGATAACCCAGGAATGGCCACAATGCTTTATACCAAATTTGAAAGACTGTAATTTCGGAATGGAAAGATCGCAGAATGCTGAATATCGATAGGGTTCATCTTCTCATGACCACAATGTTTCACTCCAAATTTGAAAACAATCCATCGAAAACTTTAGCCTATATTGCGTCCGGAACAGAAAGTCGTAGAACACTGAATATCGACAGGGTTCGTCCTTTCATGACCACAATGCTTACACCAATTTTGAAAAGAATCTGTCGACAACTATAGTCTTTATCGCGTTTGCAAGGTTTTCGGCAAAGGGGGATAACTCTGGAACGGAAAGTCGCAGAACGCTGATAATCGATAGGGTTCATCCTCTCATGACCACAATTCACTCCAAACTTAAAAAGAATCCGTCGAAACTATAGCTTCTATCGTTTTCAGTGTTTTCGGAAAAGGGGGCATAATTCTGGTACAAAAGTTTACTGAACGTTTACTATCGATAGCGTTTGTCCTCTCATGTACACGATGCTTCACACCAAATCTAATACAGATTGGATGATAACTTTTGTCGTGTGATCGAGCTTTCACAAGGTTCTACAAAGTGAAACAAGAGCCATATCGCTAGAAGGAATTGAAGAAAATTGTTGAAATTCAAAGGGCTTCTTCAGTTCACTAATTTAAACAAGCGGTTTCCATGCAAGATACGCCCACATTTTTCAAGAGATGGACAGAGAACAAGCTCAAAAAAAGATCCAGGAAGTCATGGTCCAATATTGTAGCTCATGGGTCTTTTGTCAGACGTGGAAAGCGGCCCACATACTAATACTGGTCGCCACATCCTACGTATGACCCATGCATCTTTTCTTACTACATATCTTAGTGGCCCTGTGGTCGTCTAGTATTTTCACCTGTCTTTGCTTTCACTTCACATTGTGTATTCTCTTCTTCTTATCTAAATAGTTAAGACGTTTGTCTTACAAGGAATAGCAATGCAACAGTTCATTTTTACATTTTATATATTATAGCTGGATACATTAAGCATACTTTACAATAGATTGCAATAATAAAGTCATTCTTTCAAACCCTATCTAGCCAGACTCCCTGGGGTGAGTCTGTTGATAGGATTGCTATATCTTTTCCCTTCCAGAACCAAACCAGGATTGCCAGGATTTCTTTTATAGTACATATATACATCATGCACAGACTAGGCTATTCATGACTCTGAACCTGTGCAATTACTGATATGATTGGTTACTTAAGCCAAATGATGCAATTAGTAAATTTCTAATCACGTGTGATCTGGTGATATTTTTTTGACACATGGAACCAGCTATGTTTTGGTTCTATAAATCTTTTTATGTGTCAACCAGTCAATCATATATTTTTAGTGCATTAGATAAGACTACTATGGAATGTGTTAACTAAATTATATATCAAAGATTTAATATAATGCTATCATTAATTTGAAGAGCAAAAATTCTAGCAATAGTCTTACAATATGCGTGAATATCTACAGGAAGAGAGATCTTTGCGACATAAACATATTTTAAGTTTCATTAAAGTCGGATACATACTTTTAAACTATTTGTGTACAAGAAGTGGCTATTTTGTCGGGCAGTTTCGTTCCAATTTTTACGAAATTCGAACTCAGCCACCATTATGGCAAAACGGTGATAAAATTTAAACGGTTTTTAAAATCGCATAAAAATTGTGACCTCTATCGGGTACACAAGCTAACCAGCGGCTGCCAGGCAGGATACGCCCACATTTTGCAAGAGATGGATAAAGAAAAACCAGCTAAAAACAAAAACGATTTTTTGTACAATCAAGGGCCATAATCCAGAAAGTTATGGTCTGAAATGCACAAATATCAAAAGGGACTGAAATTTTTGGAATATAAAGATATGTTTTAAGTTTCATCAAATTGGATAAAAATTGTGACCTCAAGAGGATCCATAATCTTTGAATTACATACTTATATACAATTTGCATACAAAAAGCGGCGATTTTGTTGGGCAGTTTCATTTCGATTTTCCCGAAATTCCACTTCAACCTTCATTATGGTGGAATGGTGATCTAAACGGTTTTTAAAATCTGAAAAAAAATTCTGACCTCTAGAGAATTCAAAAGCTAAAAATGCGATTTTTCGACCAATCAGGGGCCATAATCCAGTAAGTTACTATACGATATGCACAAATATCGAAAGGAACCAAGGTCTTCGGGTTATAAACATGTATTTCAAGTTTCATCAAAAGCGGATTAACATTATGACCTCTAGAGGGTCCACAACCTTGATATACAATCAGGGGCCATAATTCATGATGTTGCGATCCAATATGCGCGAATATCAAAAGCAATCAAAATCTTTGGGTTATAAACATGCATTTCAGTTCTATTGCCGTGCACGTGGAACATTTTTATGCGAAGTAGTGTTTGCTGTTTAAATGTAACTATTGCGAGGAAACATTTATTTATCGCCTTTTCATTAAAATTTAGGCCTAATTTTAGGAAGCCTAGATTGAAAACATTATGTAAGCGCCCAGGGGGAAGCTGTGTATTTGTCCTGCGTGTGTTTTTGTTTAAAATAGTAACTCTAAATGCAGTATTTGATCAAAATGTTTCATAATAATTTGTATCTGTTGTGGCTAGTGAGCTATCTGAATCAACTCACCTACTATCAATCACAACTGAACTCTTAAAACAATAACCTTCAAGCCAAATCTCATTGTTTTAGTGATAATAATAATATTAATAATAATAGAGGCGTGAGGAGTGGAAAGCAGTGGGTTAAAAAGATTAATGTTTTAAATCCAACTACTATTAGAAATGATACAGTAAAAAGATACAGAACAGTGAACAGGGGCAATCTTGTTACTATTCCAATAATTTCTGACCAAATCGATCGACGCCCAGCCAACACACAATTGTGTCTTGATGCATGGTCCGTCGAAAATAAAACAGCACCCTTGAATGATTATATATACGACAACATTGATATTAATAAAGTAATTGGGAGAAATCAAAGACATTTAACATTCATCACCACCAACAGACCATATGAACCTCTAAACATTAATCCACTGAATATTAACATTAATCATAGCAATCTCATCCAGCTCACCTCAAACTCTATCAAAAATCAGAAACAGATCAAAAACTTTAGAACAAAACAGAAGATAAACCACAATTAATTAATGCCAGATCCGTAAGAAATAAAACAACAATTTTATCTGATTATATTTTTGAAAATTCTATTGATATTTGTGGAATAACTGAAACGTGGCAGAATAATGACTGTTCGGATTCATCGACAATCGCAGCTTTAGTACCTGATGGATATTCTATACAACATTGCCCTTGAGGTTCACGTGGAGGAGGTGCAAGACACATTTAAGTCATCTATTAAGTGTAAGAAAATCTGTCATGAACGTTTTGATTCTTTTAAAATTTTGGATTGTTCCCTACGGTTTTCTTTCAAGGAAACTAGGATTATTATAATTTACCGCCCGCCCAATAGCAAATTGTGTCCAAAGTTTATGGAAGAATTTGGATTATTTCTGGACAAGTTAATGATGACTAAGTGTTGCACTATTATTTGGGGGGATTTTAATTTTCATGTTGATGATTCCAACGACTCTACCGCGGTTTATTTTTGTGATATGCTGAATAATAGATCTCTCACACAACATGTTTCGTCTTCGACTCATAACGGTGGACATATTCTCGATCTGGTGATAACTAATCCATTTGATATTAAACTGGGTAATCTCTCTGTCTCGGACAAATTAATATCTGATCATTTCCCGGCAACTTTTAATCTTATGATCCAGAAACCACAACCAACAAGAAAGCCTGTAACATATCGAAGGTTTAAATCACTTGACACTAATGAATTTAAAGCGGAAATAGTGAACTCGAATTTCAATGGCATTCAACGTATTCCAAGATATACATGAGAAGGCAACCCAATATCGCTCAAAGCTTGCTGAAATTTTGGACTCGCTTGTTCCTTTTCAAACGAAAACATTTACTATTCGTCCCAATACGCAGTGGTTTAATGATTTTATTTTAGAAGCCAAAAGGGACCGTAATAAGGCTGAACATCTGTGGCGGAAAACAAATCTACATGTCCATAAACAGATTTATAAATATTTAAAAAACAATGTGAATAAATTAATTGAAGACGCTAAAATTAAATTTTACTCTGATAAATTTTACTCTGATAAAATATAAAATGGCGAAAACAGACAAAAAGACCGGTATAAAGTTGTGAATTCCCTTTAGGACCATAATGCTGAGCGTACTATTCTCCCGGACAATGATAGTGACACTGAACTTGCAAATTTATTCTCTGATTTCTTTCAAATAAAAATACAGAAAATACGAACTGAACTTGATGATTTAAATAAAACTATTGACTTTAACGCTCATGATTTTGATAAGTTAGAAAATTCTGTTTATTTAGAAAATTTTGTTTTAAAGCTAATTAAATCGTTTGCTCCTAAATCTTGTTCATTAGATCCTGTTCCGACTTCTGTTCTTAAGGACTGTCTAGACAAAG